AGTCTCCTTGCTGAATAGGGAGACTTCCAATTCTATCTTGCTAAGGATAAGATAAGCTAATCCTAATCTGATAATAAGATAAACTAATCCTAATCTGATAATAAGATAAACTAATCCTAATCTGATAACTTACTAACAAGATAAGATAAGAGCAATAGAATAAGATAAGAACAAGCAAGATGATCTAATCTAGTCTGGCGGTGGGTCAGGTTCCCGTTGCTGCCGGCGGCGATGGTACGTCTTTCCAAGGAATGCGTCAATAACAGAAAACCCAATGAATGAAATGGATGGTAGTAGCAATTTACCTACAAATGAATCTCACCAATCAATGGGAGAGGTTCTGTTTTCAATGGATCTGGGACTAGTTGTCCTACACTTGGACCTGAATTATGTGCAGAAAAGCATGCAAGTAAACTAAATGACTCCACCTTCAATGTCAAGCGCTCGACTTTCTGGGGAAGGAACATTGTAAGATGTTCAACTCTGTTAACAGAGTAGGGGTAGTGCTGAAACCCAGAAGTTTAGGAGGTCTTTGTTGCAAAACAAAGTTTGGATGGCTAAGTGTCACCACCCCCTAAACCTTAAGTACAGGGTGGTAGTTTGTAATTTACCCTTTCTTTGTTTTGATGGATAATACATGATGAGCACTTGGCCATCTGAATGTTGTTAGTATCTTGTCACACCATTGACACTGATCTCTGCAAACCCTAATCAGCAATTGGCCTCTCTTTGTGGTTGCATTGTTGCTCTAACATTTTTACTTAGAATAGTTAGTGTAAATAAGAAGTTTCTTATACTTTCTAAAATATCAGTGTTCTCAATTCCTGCTTAAGTACTAGGATATGAGATGTTTCATTCTTAAAATCAAAGTTCTAATATATTGTTCTTAATCTTTTTATATTTCTTACAGACCAAGAAGAACACATCCATGGAGTCGATTGACTCTTCTGGTGAAGAAGAGTATGTTATCTCACCTTTAACAACTTAACATCTTTCTATTTACAGCTAAGAAAATTCTTACCTTTGCAATAATTCTTACATTGGCTTGAAAATGAATGGCAACTTCTTGTTTATTTGGCTAGAAAGAGGTAATCATTTCACAAAGTTTTGGAAGGTCCTTATCATGCATATGACAGTGCATTGAAACTTGAAGTTTTTTGTTTACTGTCTTGTATTCTCTCATGCGCATGGAGTTGTATCACATGGTCATTCATTGAAGTGTTTCTGACTAGACTCTTGGCTCTTAATATCAGATGTGACAGTATCGAGAAAATGGTCACACCCTGTAGGAGTTATATGATGTACCAAGAAAAAAATGGTATTTTAAAAATTTAAAATCAATTCATATCCTTACATTTCCTATGAAACGTTTTTGTTTCAATGGGTTCTTATATGAACCATTACGCTTTCATTAAAACATCTTCTCTTTCTCTTGTTTTATTTCATATTTGAGCAAGCTTACACAGAAAGCTACAGAATGGGTTTAAGGATGTACCTATTTTATCCATTTCTCTATTACCATCAATGATCTCCTTTTTACATTTTGGAAATTTACTTTGTCTACAATTATAGGTACTAGGCCAATCATGATAGGATCCATTCCGCACACATACAGGGGGGTATGTGTGTGTGTTTGTCATGCATATCATTCTGACTGACGTGGCATATATTGATATATATCATGGTCAGATCCATTATCTGATTCCTATACATATATAATTGGGAATGAAACCTTTGAGCCAAACAAGAAAATAGCACCTACATCACATCCCACATATGTTTTATTTTTGTAATGTATGAAATGAACTTCTGAATTTCTTTGAGAAATTCAGAGAAATTCATGTATCCACTGCACCTACACCTACACCACATCCCACAAGAGAATAACACCTTTCAATACCATGTATCCACTGCTTAATCATTCTGAATTTCTTTGAGAATTAGAAGAAAAAAACTAATTATGTATGTGTTCTAATGCCATATGACAACAGCCTCGGCCATCACTCAAGTGTGTAGTGGGATTAGTGTCTCTTCATACAATAGGTGAACTGATTAGTTGCAACAGTAAAGCAACTTCAAATGCTCTGCCACCATGTTCTCTAGAGATTGGTCAATTACCCATCCGGACCATCTCTGCTTCCAAAAGGATTATGGTGAAATAATATGTTAATGTTAACATCTGAGCAAGGTACCTTGGATGTTAAGATTTCTGGTAAGGGAAACAAGGAACGTGTCTGCTAACCTGAACTGCTTGTTTTTGGTAGAGCCCAGGATCAGCAAATGCTTTGGCTTACAGTTTGGCTAAGGCTGGAGTAAATAGGGGCAATATGAATGTGGTAATCTAGGGCTAGATGGGACAATGTGATAACTAGTTTGAATCTTCCAATTTTCTTTTACAGTCTCATTTTAGTGTATTGCATTCTTCTCCAATTCCTTTAAATCTTATACATATCTGAATTCCATAATCCAAAACCACAATACATTTTTTTTTTTGTAGTTTGCTAAATTCCATAATCTTGTGATGATGACTTAAAAGAAGGGTTATTAGGTGAAACTCCCCTTCACTTTTTTGAAATTCTCTTGGTATAAGGACTATCTCACTGGAGGTGTGGTTTTTAATGGCAAAAGTTTGACATAGGGTTACTATCTCATTGGAGGTGTCCAAAAGTTAGGGTAAACCCAAGAGAAAGATGGAAAAGTGAAGAGTGATTTCAAATAATAACCCAAATAAGTAATACAATCTCTTTAATTAATTGAATTAGTTAATTGTTTAGGGTATCAGACTCCTAAGTTTGCATATTCTATATATTGTGATGAGCATTAACTAATCATACACGTAATCTTGTTCTTTGTAGAGGTCAGATAGAGCTATTTGCTTATAGGTATTTACAATGTTTGAGCATAAAGCTTAGAGCATGATACAACCTTGAGGGAAAGTATCTCTATTTTGTTTGAGCATAAAACTAAACTTTTTCATTCTCTAGGCTTTGTAGCAGAGGTTGTGGAATTAGGAAATTTAAATTATTCATTTGAAACATGAATCTCCAATCGATCTTTAATCCTGAAAAATACTTTGATGATAATTATATTTAAGGAACTGTCATACAATTTGTCTTCATGCAGGAACTGTACTCAAAATTGAAGATTCTGAGAGAGATAAGGCATAATAAATTTGTTTGGTTGGGCTTGATTAAAATATCCATCTATTGCCTTAAGTTTCTGCAATATTGTATTTCATTTAGGCTGAATTTGGATTGTGGGAGTAGATTTGAAATTAGGCTACAACTCTATTCTTGGAAAGAATTTGAATTCTAGTAAAATACAGAATTTGCAAGGCTTTTCTTCCATATGCTTCCAAATTCCAAATTCCACATTGCTGAAAAAGCGGAATTTGAAATCCACCTTCATATAATAATCATTACCCTAATGAGTTGGGCTCTCTAAAGTGCATATAATAAATCAAAGATGTATTGACAAGACAAATAAGCATGTGTATATATGGCTCAACTTGGAGTGCAAAGCCTTATATTTTACACGTGGTTTGAAGATTTCCTAATGCATGGTTGAAAAGGGCTGTGAGAATGGTGTGAGCACAGTTTTGTGAGGGCTGAATCCGCTCACCTTTGATGTTGTTTGCCCTTCTTACATTACATGTGGTTTGAAGATTTGTAAGTAGGTAAAGAACTCGCACCAACTGAATTTTGAACTACTATTGATATTCCAATTAATTGCTTAAAATTCAGCCCATGTAAATTTTAGTTACTAGTCCTATCTTTATAGTTAAAATATTTGAACATAATTCTAATATTTATATGTTTTGATTTGCAGGTTCAACCAATATGTTAAGTGGATTTGCATTGGAAGATGTACTGCATTATTAGAGAATTTGATTTTTCTTTAAGTTCTTGTACTATTTATATGTCAATTGGATATTGTATTTGAACAATGTCTTTTGGATATTTTAATATATAATCTTTGAATTAATAGATCTCATTTTAAATTGATTTTTATCAAATGGTTTTGTTTTATTAAATAGGTATGAAACTGCTAAATTAATAAACAATTCAAGTACCACAAAAATCCTGCAATTAAGTGGGTATATGATTTTTTTTGAAAAAAAATAGGTTTATCCCGGCGGTCATGTTCGCCGGCTTAGCTACCAACTTGGTAAAAATAAAAATGAAAAAAAAATCTAAGCCGGCGGTCATGGAAATGCTGGTTTAGCCGCAAACACTCCTAAGCCGGCGGTCATTTAGCACCTAAGCCGGCGGTTCGGACCACCACCTAAGGACGTTAGGGAATTTGATAGAAAGCTAAGGTGGCGGTCTCGGACCTAAGCCGACGGTCATAACCGCCGCCTTATTAAAGCTAACTCGGCGGCTCCAATAGATTGCCACTTTAGAGCAACTTAAACCGCCTTCGCCCAACCATCAATGTGATAACAGGATTTCTCAAAAATTTGTATTAACCAATACAAAACTTGCACGGCAATGATACCAAACACAACCAAAATCTTCTGTTCTATCAATGAAAATGGGAATGTGTTTTTGTCAAGCCTGCATACTTTGTTGCTAAAAACATCATTGGTAAGCAAGAAAACATATCTGGATCCCTGCTTAATGACAATTCTTGGAAACTGATTTGGAGGTGGTGTGAATGGAATTTCAATAAGAGAAAGCTTAGAGAAAGGTAGTTCCTTCAGCTATATTGGCAACTGGTTTAATAGCATGCTATTATCTCTACGAAAAACAAACCTGGCTAAGAAATCATGGCTAATATTTCGATTATATTGTGGATTATTTGGAAAGAAAGAAATGAATTTTATTTTGAAAATTTTGAGATTAGTAACTGTTGAAAGGTCACTGATCCAGAAGCTAAGGCCCCATTTATGGTGGAAGTTGCAGGTAGTTGGCTTTTGGAAAATTAATATCATTGCTAGCCTTTTGAATTCTGATCATGCAGCAGTTGGTTTTCTGATTAGAAATTTTGAAGGTCTGCGTTGGGGAACTGGTTGCAGTTTATGTTGTGCTTCTTCCCCTCTTTTGGCTAAAGCAAAGTTTTACTCGAAGTTGTTAATTTATTTGCAGTGAGATTCAACCTGGATAATATTTTATTTGAATCAGACAGTAGTCACTTAATTTCCAGTATTAATGGTGATGAAAACTCCTGGCAGCAAAACATCCATTATATTTGCAAAGATAATAACCACTTGTGTGCAGGCAAGTCAGTTAGGTTCCTTTGGTGCCTCAGAGAGAAGCAAATAAGGTGGGTTTGGTTTGAAGGAAAATCTTTAAGTGTTTGATGCTGCACCTCTTTAATTATCTTTAAAGATTAGAAAAGATTTTGTAGCTCTTCTTTGTGGTTAATGGAATGTTTTCTTACAAAATATAAAAAATAAAAAATAAAAGATTGTAAAAATAATGTAATCCACTAGTTTCAAGTTTTCAATGGTGGTTCCCAGAACTAGGGGTGCTCATAAAAAACAAAAAACCGAATTAAACTGGTGAAGCCAAATCGAACAACCCAGTGGTGGTAAATCGAACCGGCCTATATATATATATTTATAATAGATGATATTTATTTGTAGTATATATTGTAAATACTACAATATATATTATAAATATATTATATATTTATTTGTAGTATATATTGTAAATATAAAAAGTCAAAAACAGAAGAACTGAACCAGTTAAAGGACCGGTTTAGTTTGAAAAAAACCCCGGTTCAGGAGCACCCCTGCTAAAAAGTAGGGGTTCATTCGAGCTAAATCGAGCCAAATACCTGGCTATTCAAGTTTAGCTCAGTAGAAAAGTATTAAGCTTGAGTTTGGGCTTGATCTAGATTCGAGCTAGAGACATGAACTTAAATTCACTTAGAGCTCGATAAGAGCCAAGTTTCATATAAAAAGTAAAAAAATATACATATAAAAATAAAAAATTATATATAAAATTATTTATATAATTAAAAATTGTACATATAATATAAGTTCAATTAGGCTCATGTGCTGAACTTCATTAGGCTCGAGCTTGGCTGGATGAGCAAATGAGCCTACATGCATATTTGATTCAAGTTTGGCTTGAAGCTCGGTTTTAACCGAATTGGATCAAACTTTTTACAAGAACTGAGCTCAAATAGCTTGTAAAAAGCTCAGTTTCTTGGAAGAAATGTAGGTAAAGGTTAGCATTGATCCCCGCACCTCTTGTATGCTAAGTGAGCAGCATTCTACTGTATGGAAAATCTATCATCAGCCAATACAAAAAAAAAAAAGATAAAAAAATAAAAAACAAAAGAGAAAGAAGAAACTCTTTCTCAAGCTGATATTGATAACATACATACAAATGAAAAAGAGAAAATGGAGATGCGGGGTATCAATTTAAGCGCTCTATCATTTAAGCTACATTCCCATTATATATAATGGTAGGTTATTAAAGCTTAAAATTATATTCATTAGAAATCTTCTATCTTTCAAATTCAAAATTTGATCCTGTAATCAGAATAGATGAGATATTAATGAAGGGAACATAAAGAAAATATTGTCCCTCTCGGGGTGTAACTGTTGGTGTTTTATAGACAGAGAATAAGGTAAAGAAAGATTAAATTCAATTGGATGCTTGATTGGATGAAGGATCTCATTGTGGATGCATGGGGACAATAGGTTCTCCTATGTTTTCCCATTCAATTCTTAGCAATGAAACAATGAATTTATTCAATGGCCTTCAGAAAAGGTGGCCTCTACATGATCTTGGTGGGTTGACAACGGTGAATACAGTAGTAGAGATCATCACATAGAGAGATTGGCATTAGATAGTCATTTTACGTGGCCATCGTATCCCATTCACCCATTGGTGCACCTTTTGGTTATTACATATTCCAACACATACCTGTGCGGTTTTTTGCATATTCTGACCCATACCGTGTGAAACATTAATTTAATTATTTACATTAGTTAAGTTATAATTAAATTATTTAATTACTTACACTAACAATATTCCGACCCATACCCATTAGTTTGATTACTTAAACTAACAATATTTGTTAAATTATTTTTCATATCATTTTATTACTGTAATTATTAACTAATTTTTAAATTGCTTTTGGAAAAAAATCAGATATTTAATTATGACGATTTAATTGTTATACTTTTATTGCAATGTTTAATTTTCACAAAATAATTTCAGAGATTTAATTATGAAAATTAATTTATTTAATAATTTTGGAAAATTATTATTTTTAGAACATTCATTTACTTTCATAAATTAAATTTTAATTTTTTGAATATACTATTAAATTAGAATAAATTAATTTTCAGAAAATCCAACAACAATCCAATGCCATAAATTAATTTAAATTGTTTAATAACTTTTGGAAAAGCTATAAATGTTTTTATCAGCTATTTGAGAGAGAATAAATGTTTAATAATAATAGTAATAATTATAATACTAATAATCATATTAATAATTGTTATTAATTTCTTTTAATTAATTTTGCATTTAACTATTATTAATTTATAGTAATTACTAATAATAATAATAAAATAATATTTATTTTTTTCAAGTTGATTGGACCGTTCTTTTGATTGTTTTGATTTGTTTATAAGTCTGGGTTGTTTCAATCTTTGATTAACAAAATCCATGCATCACACGGGTCCCCGTTGCTTAAATCTATATCGAATACTTTTAATAATATAAAACCTGTATTCAAAACCAGTTTGAAAAATAAACAACCCTTTCATTTGGGTGGTGGATAAGTATTAGATCATTTGAGTCAAATGGATCAATCAATGGTCTCATAGTTAAATAAACCACTCTTTAATAATGCAGTACTGAACTTTGAGAATGTGCCACTTTAGTTCAGCTGTTAGCATTCCATCAATTATTTGATGCATGTACTGTCACATACAATTTGAAACATTTCAAAATTTCATAATTATCCTTCACATATAATTAAATAGAGACTGTTTTCACACATTATTCATCATTTTCTTCCTTGAGACTGAATCAAAGCAGTGATGAACAGAGTCCCAAACTCACTACCATTCCACTTCCTCTCTCCACTAATATTCTCTCTATTCCCCTCTCTTCTTCTTCTTCTTCGTCTTCTTCTTCTTCTTCCTCCTCCTCCTCCTCCTCCTTATGGTGTGAACTTCCTAAGTCTTCCTAGAGTTCTTGTACATGCTCCTTTCGGAAACTTGCAGCAGTGAGCATTGTAATAATCAATTGATTGTTCATATTTACTAGTGCTGGATAAAGTGGTACTTTTCAATTCAAATACTAAAATGAGATCATCCCCAAATCACAAGGTACTAATCCACAATTTACCAAATAAATAAGTATAAATATTACAAAAATTTCCACATGCAACGTTAGTACTATTGTTATTTTGGGCTTTCCCCTTTGTTGACGACAGAATCAGGTACAAACAGTTGTCCAAAGAACCTCCTTTGAGAAAAAGGCTTGGATAATTGTTGTGCTTATTTCTCTGTATATATGGAGTTTTGGGCAGTTCATGGTATATTTGAATTAGCGATCAATCTTATCCATAAAAACAATGGTGTTGCTAAATAGTGGAAAACTGGAAATGATGGCAATTCTCCTTTCATCAAATCTCTAGCATCGATCTATGACCTTGAAGAGAACTAGTTTTGATGGGTATTGTACAAAGGACATCTCTTCGATTTGTCTATGTCATACATGGATCCAACACTTGATTTTACTAAAAAAGGTTCAACATTTGAATGGTACTACAAAACCTTCCTTGATGAAAGCTAATTGGGTTTGGATTTGTAGTTTAACTTGAGCCGTTGGAGTGTTTTGCACTGGGCAAGATGGATAGCCATAACGATCTCTTTAATATAAAAACAATAACGGCTTTGATGTTACCTCTATACTACAAACCATTATTGTTTCATTTAGAATCAGA